TTTAAGATATATATATATATATATATATATATATATATATATATATATATATATATATATATATATATATATATATAATTTTAAAACATATACTAAATTATAATATATTTATTATTTATTTGTTGTAACATTATTATATCACAGTTTATATATATTTTTATTTTTTTAATAGTTTAATGTAAATAAGCCTATTTCAATTAAAATATTTTTATATATATATATATATATATTTTTTTTTTTTTTGTTATATACCATCCTCTCAAACTAATCCATCCTTATATATTTTTTTTTTTATTTTAACTAATTTTCAATTAAAATATTTGTATATATTTTTTATTATATACCATACTCTAAACTAATCATTTTGATTGTTTACTTAATTTTATGATCTATTATTGTATTTTTATTATTTTAATTAATTTTAAAAAAAATGTCGGTATTTAATTATTTTTAGTTTTATGACAATGTTGAACTATATTACAATTTTTGCTCGTTATTTTTTTAATTTATTATTATTATTTTTTTTAATTTATTTTTGAATGTTTAATATATTTTAGATGGTATCCTAATAATTATAAATGGTGGATAAATAAAACTTAAAAAAAAATTAACAACCCAACCCGGACCCAAACAAAAAATGGAGGGTTGGGTTAGGTCGTGAAAAGTTTCGGGTTAGGTTGGGTTACCAATCCAACCAACCCGAACTTTTGGGTTGGGTCGAAAAAATCTTCCAACCCGACCCAACTCGGACCATGTACGCCCATAATAATAGGTGGCTGAAATAAGGGTTTTTTTATTTTTATTTTTTCTTCTTCAATTTTGAATTTGTTTTTTTCCCTAAAAAAGTAGCATTAATAATGAAGTTATAATATTTTTTAAAAAATAACATTAACATAATTAAATTTGAAAAAATAATACTTATTAACCATAAACTCACTCTTTTGAAATTTCACCAAATATCTACCTATCTATAAACAATCTACAAGCATTATTAAATTTCCCCCGAATAAAACAAAATTAAGAAATGAATTATTATTAATAATTAAATAAGGAAAGTGGTGAATCACATTTTCTATAATTTAATTCAATATTTAGGTATACGCAACAAGGTTGAGAGTTGACCAACTAAACTAGCAATTTAACCGTGTACGTCACAATGGATCACCCAAGTTGGGGTAGCATTTTCTCCAAATAAAAAAAAGAGATGTTGCAGAGATGTAGAACAAAAGATGGAGATTGCTTCGTTTTCCTTTCTTCTTCTTCTTCTACCTCTAATCTTCACCATTCTCAGGCACATCTGTTCATCTTCTAAACAGCCGCCACTTCCTCCAGGTCCAAATCCATGGCCGATTCTTGGAAATCTCCTTCAGATCGGTCAAAACGCCCACATTTCAATGACCCAATTCTCTCATTTCTACGGCCCTTTAATCTCCCTCAAGCTCGGAGCTCAGCGCCTGGTGGTCGCTTCTTCACCGGCCGCCGCCGCCGCCATTCTCAAGACTCAAGATCGCCTTCTATCTGCTCGATACATTTTCCAAATGACCCCTGATCGACCTCTGCACGATAACTGCTCGCTTCTTTTCTCACCGGAATGCGGCGATCGTTGGAAGAATCTGAGATCCATTTGCAGAGCCAAATTGTTTACAGCGAGAGCGATCGAATCCCAAGCCAGTTTGAGAAGGAAGAAGATGAACGACATGGTGGAATTCTTGCAGTCAAAACAGGGATCTGTGGTGGAGATTAAAGAACTTGTGTTTATTACTGTTTTCAACACTCTTTCTAACTTCATCTTCTCTAGGGATTTGGTTGGTTTTGTGGGTGATGGGTTCAATGGGATTAAAGGGTCTTTCAAGAACATCATCGATTTGGGTTTGATCCCAAATTTAGCTGACTTTTACCCTTTGCTTAGAAGCTTCGATCTTCAAGGACTTCGAAAGAAAGCTGCTATCTACAAAAACCAAGTCGATTCTTCGTGGGAAATTCTTA